TACTAATTATGTTAAAAAATTTACTTTCAGAAGTAAAGGAAGGTCGATCGGTGATTTGGTATAAAGGAAGTCTCATGCATTGTGAGGCATGTGATGTGTTGCACATGAAGAAGAAATGGACTGCATCTTTATTGTTGCTTGTTGCTTTGACAAAGAAGCTTTGAACTTTGTTTTTCTTCTTCTTAACTTGCCATGTTTATTTGCAACACAATAGCAAACCATTTCAAGTGCTCATTATGTGGTATTTCAACTCTTAGCTTGTGTTTGGATTTTGAATTGGTGGAGCAAAAAAGTAAGAGGAAAGTCAGTGAAGTAAAAGTTACTTTTATTTTTTTCACTTTTTACTCTCATTATCTGTTCTTTTCTTATATTCTTCTAAGAGCTCTGCAAAGAAAAGATTGCAATGAAGATGTTTGATGTTAGGTTGCTCACTGTGACAAGAGAGTTCACTACTTAACCCAGATGAAGTTGGGATGGATTTTTGTTTTTTTGAAGTGAAATATTTGGAAAATTTGACAATTTACTAAAAACTTGATTATGGAAACTGTTTTTGTTTTTTGAGAAATGGGAGAGGATTCTCTCCGGTCCACATAGTGGACTGGAGCGTAACTGTTTAATGTGTAGAACTCGTTGAGTATTTTGCAAAAAATCACGTTGATCGGATATCAGTAATTTTTTGATCGGAACACATTTTGTTAAGAGTAAATATGATTTTAAAAATAAATTGTTAAAAATGTGTTCGGATCAAGGGGTTATCAATATTCAATCAACGTAATTTTTTGTAGATATAAGTAGTCGACGAGCTCTACACATAGTGAATTGGAGCAAAGCCATCTCTTTGAGGAATTATGGGAACTAGTTGTGTCTATGATTTTCTGTCATTGGGCTGCGGACTTTGCATGTGTCGTAAAAATTGTGTGATTAAATAAACCCAATTGATTCAAAATTACCAATTTAAATTTCAGAACAAAAACATGTTGACAATTACAAGGTTGACAGGAATACATAATAAAATAAAATGGCAAAAAATGAGCAAACCGAAACCTACACTAGACAGTGTCTTTAAAACAAATTCGCCGCCTTATCGGTTGAGTGCTGGAGGTTCTTCAACGTTTGTCTCACAAGATACGACGGTTAGACCAGTTACAACAATGCACCTACTGTGTAACTTCGGTGAACAGAACTACGGCAACACTTTCTCACTAGGAAGAATATAAAAACTGGAGGAAAACTTTGAATAAAAAGAGAGCAAATTTTCTAGGTAGAAAACTGAAGGAGATGGGTTTCTTTTTATACACATGGAGGGGGAGAGAGGAGGAACCTTCTGCAACAAATGTAGAAATATATCTCTGCAAAATTGCCCAACAAATGCACCAAAACTGATGGGACTTTAAGTGTGTGAGTTACACCCTTCATATGTACACGTGTGTATATCTGCAGCCACCAACCTATCTTGGCCCAAAAAGATTAGGTTGGTGGACCACCAACTCGGCCTAGGCCAAACCAAGCCTCAAGCCCCATGACTCGATCCGGGTGGGTGGCGTGTGCCCGTGTGGCAATTTTTGCATAACCAACTTGGATCATAATTTTGGCCCAAGCCCATCCTTGAAGCATCCATAACTCCCTTCCTCCGGAAAATTTGGATGCCCCAAAAGGCTCACATCCTTAGGCAAAAAATGAAATTTAAATACCCATTAATACTCTCCTCTACAATCAATGTGGGATAGAAGGTTACACACTTTTCCCAACACTTCTTTCATAAGGCCAACTTAATGAGTCAATTTCTTATTCATATTTAATGGTTTTTGGTCATTCTTTTTGTGGTGTAAAGATCTCAGTATAAAAAATCTAAACTCACTTTAACCTACCTCAATAGAGGGTTAAAACCCACTTTAATCTTGCATTAAAGTCACCAAAAAATCATTATTCTCCAACAGTATGATCGAAATTCCAAATTTGTCATAAAATATAGGAAAATTGTACAATAGTTTCGGAGTATTGGTGTATAAATTGTGTGATAACATAAATCAACTACATTCATATATTTAACAATTTGAATTTCATGCTGGAAATTATACATAGATAGAACAGAAATTCATAAAAAATAAAATTGCAGAAGAAAGCAAACCGAAGCCTGCACTAGACAGTGTCCTTAAAACAGATTCTATCTCTCAAGATACGACGGTTGGACCAGCTATGTAATGCACCGACTGAATAGCTTCGGCAAATAGAATTTTGCAGTACTCTCTCACAATAAGAATATAAAAAAAAACTGGAAAACTTAGGAATACAAAAATAACAACAATTTCTGGGTAAAATGTTGAAGGAGAGGGCCTCCTTTTATACACATGAGGGAGAGAAGAAGAGGCTCCCCTGCAACAAATGCAGGAATTAATTCTGCATTAACCAAAATTAATGCTGAAGGAGAGGGTCTCCTTTCATACATATGAAGGAGAGAGGAGGAGGCTCCCCTGCAACAAATGCAGGAACTCCTTTTATACATATGAGGAACAAATGCAGGAATTAACATGAGGAAGAGAGAAAAAGGCTCCCCTGCAACACATGCAAGAATTAATTCTGCAAAATTGATGGGTTTAATTCCATCATCAATAGAGGAGACTAGGTTTTCCTGCAGTCCACAACCCACGGACCACGGAACCCCACGGACCACGGAACCAGATCCAGCCCGGTCTTGGCGGGCAGCGCGTGACTATTTTTGCGTAATCAACTTGGACCATAGTCTTGGCCTAAGTCTATCCTTGAAGCATCCGTAATTCCTTTCCTTCGGAAAATTTGGATGCCCCAAAGGGCTTGCACCCTTATGCAAAAAATGAATTTTAAGTACCCATCAATACTCTCCTCTATAATCAATGTGGGATAGAGATTTTACATCTTTCCCAACACCTCTTTCATGAGACCAACTTAATGAGTCAATTTTTCATTCAAACCTTAATGGTGTTTGGCCATTCTTTTTGTGGTGTAAAAATCTCACTACAAAGAATCTAAACCCACTTTACTTCACCTCAATTGAGGATTGACACCCACTTTAATATTGAATTAAAATCACCAAAAAATCATTATTTTCCAACAAGTATAACGTGGTTGTAGTCTCTTACCAATTACTATTCATTATGCTCCATCATGTTCATTAATCACTCAACACAAATAATCAATATTCTATCTCTTTTACCAATCATACTATCATCGAGTACCACAAGGCCACATTTCCGGACTACCGAATAATTACTCTCAAATATATGAGACTTTAGTGTTTGCTAAAGTGTCATTGTTTGTTTGAATTCGTCACGGTACGGTAGTGTTTTGGATTTGTGAAGGGCATTCATTTTCATTGCGGCTGTATTTAAATTTTGAATTTGCAAATAAAATTACAAATCACTCTGTTGAGGTTGGTGGATCTGTTTCTAATTGATCTTTGTTATGTCAATTTCAATTCACATTGCTCTAAGTAGGGATGTAAGAAAAATTAAAAAAATTGACAAAATTGGTTGAATCGAACCGAATTGCTTGTATTTAGTTGGTATTTTATTATGAATCAATCTGTGTGGTTTTAAATTTTTTTTTTTTCGATTTTTTGATTTAGTACCGGTTTAGTACCTTATACACCAAATTAAACTGAAACTGACCGAAAGCTTCCCATATTAAATATAGTATATATTAAATATATAATCAATTGGTTAAGTACAAAGTTCAATTGATTCATTTAATTATTTATTTTTTCTTAAATATTTCAGATTTGACAATAGGCATTGGCAATGTGATAAGTTGTTAGTTTACCACTCATATATGTTTTAGTTAAGTTTTGTTACTACTATGTTTATGTAACCATAGCAAATGTTTATCTTGTTTTCAATTTTTTGTTTTAATTCTACTTGATAGACTTGTGATTTAGCTTTATGAAATGATGGTTTTAAATTTTGGTTTTGCTCTGGTGTCAAGATTTTGATTTTCAAATTATATTTTGTTTGTAATTCTATTTCAATATTTTTATATAAATTATTTACTATACTGTAAATTTAAGCAGAAATTTAAATTTGAAAGGCCTTGAACCGATTAAATCATACCGAGATGAACCTTTGAATTAGTGCAGCTTGGTGTGCTTTAGTGAAAAAATCAGTTTGTATCGGTTCTCAATATAACAGAACCGACATTATTGATTTAGTGTAAAATTTCACCTAATCACCGGCCATCCCAAACCGATTATATCCATAGCTGCAAGCCTGCAATGTAGCTCAATCAATGGAACCTGTTTGTTTGTTTGTTCGTTTTTTTTTTTTTAATTTTTTTGTTAAAAAAAAAAAAGAGCTTAATTAGATATTTTATTTTTAAAATGTTCAAAGGTGAACAATGTATTGTATGCCAAAGTCTTTACTAATACTACTTAACCAACACATCTGCACCACCAATGCGGTGGCTGTCACCACCACACCACCACTTGTTGCCATTATATCTTTCCTTACAATTGCTACGGCACCACCACTGTTGCCGCCACCCTACAACCACAATTAAGCTATACCTACACCACCATTATCACAACCACTAGGCACATTAATTTGAGGGATGCAATTAACCATATAAAATAAAATAAAAAAATTCCTTTTCTTTGTCAAAACGAACAAGAGCAAATTACACTTTAAGTACTTTATACTAATCTCACATTATTCACTGACTTTTTAATTATCTTAGTCAATTCATTACATTTTGAATCTAATTACAATTAGATCCAGTCAAATAATGTTGTTTTAAAATTTGACGGAAAAACTATAGATTCAAAATAGAACGTGAACAACGTTATTACAATTGGATCCAATAACATTGTTACTATCATGTGGCTGTTCTCCTTTAATTTTTGAAATGATATTATACAAGTGGACTAAATTGTTACTTGACTCAAAGTCTAAAGGGTTGATCGAGATAATTAAAAGATTAGGAGAAAACAAAGTGAGATTAGATATAAAGTGTAGAGGTATAGAGCGTAATTTGCCCAACAAATAAGGTGTACGTTCCAATGTGATGTAAACACAATTAGACTACAGCCCGAAGAATATTAAATAAATTATCAATACAAAAATAACTCACAATATGGAGACAGAGATCTACTTCAACCAACAGTTCAAGAATTCATTCCCAATAGAATACCAATGGAATAAAAGAATTAGCTAACTTGAGATTAGTACCTTTGTTTCAGTTAAATTTTGATTTCAGTTTATAAACAATATATATATAGCATATACAGAGGCACACCATTACAAAATCAGGGAGTCAGCAGCTGTGTTGTGGAGCTACTATCGCTGCCGGAAGCCAGAGGAGCTTCCGTATTCACAAGGTTCGATCCTCTGTTACTAACATCGGTCCCCTCTACGGCGCCAATATCTTCATTCTGCTCAGAACTCATCCACGGATGATTTGCTTGACGACGATATTCACGACTTGGTGATAGGCTAGACCAGGAATTATGCAATGGTGGCAGCTGGGATTGTTTTCGACGTGGAAAGAGGTTCTTTGTTTTCTGTGAGGAAGCCGAGGCGGAGGATGCTGTAAGGCACGGGGCTAATGGGCTGCGTGGCACGGGCAGCGTTCTCGAGCTAAAGGACTCAGTTGGAGTTGTTATTTCCCCATTTGCAATCTTCAGTCTCTCAACTTCTTGCTTTAGTGCTTCATTTAGAGCTGTGCAAAACAAACACCACAAGAGAGACTTAAATAAGGAAGAAAGACACAAAAAATGCTTGACAATGAACAAAGTTAATCAGTTTGGTGCTTCTTTCATCAGGTTTTGGCCAAATAATCAGATTAACAGCGAAAAATTCATGCCACAAGTATTAAGTTATAAAATACTTGGCGCAAAAAAATTGACAGCAAAGTCTAATTATTTCATTCATAGGAAAGATATCAAACATAAATTATACCAAGAGATACAGTTTTAGAAGCATAAAAGCATCAAAAAAGGATCACATTGATCTTGGTGTTTTTATAGACACTTACACAGCAGAAGCAAGGATTGGTATTATCATGTCATGTATGTTACAAACACAATGATATAAAAGTCTATTGTTAGCAAATTCATTTCTATATTAATATTATGAGAACCACATTTCTGTATCAAAAATTATTTATCATCTCATCTGCTACTAATGTATTGGTTCAATAGATCCCAACTATTCTACACTCATATAGATCACCAATATAATGATAACAAATAAAATGGTAAATAATTTTTGGCGGGATCATCATAGACATATTTGGGGGCCACATCTTGCATGGGCAGTAGGAGTAAGAGAGTTCAATTGGCAGTGGCATGGAGTTTCTCAACCCTTGACTTAGGATTAGTCTGTTCTATTTCTCAATGGAGGCAAAGCAGGAATACAACTCTGCAAAATTGTTATCATATTGCATTATCATACTGTTGTCATGTTTGAGTTCTTTATAAGTACGTACAATTACAGCTTTGACCACTTCTCATCACCTCCATGTTCGGATTAATTACTAGTAATATCAACTTAAAAGTGTGATTTTTTATACTGATATAGAACAAGAATTTTAGAATGTTTATATTTCATTTTTATTTATTGAAAATTAGATTTTGATTAGGATTTTGCTATTTAACTTATGTTCTATAAGAGTTGAATCAGGATCACAAGTCGAACCAAGGATGACGGAAGCACAACTTCATATTTATGATGTAGAACAAGAATTTAGAATTTTTATATTTTCATTTTTATTATTTTGAAAATTAGATTTTCACTAAGATTTTGTTATTTATTTAACCTAAAGCATTCTAGAAGAGTCAAAATAGGGGAGCCAATGACGACAACTTGATATTTGAGTATTTATAATTGCGTTGACTAAACCCTCAACACCTAACTTTCTAAAACTTTTTCAGTCGATCCATCAATACAAAATTTGTTCTGAACAACATAAAATTGAGGTTTCTAATTTCCTTTTTTACTTGGAAATCCTATTATGTATCAATTTAAAGTTTCTTAGTTTTTTAGACTTGCTTATTCTATAAGTATTAGGTTTAATTTTTTATTAATACAAGTGAGCCTACAATTATGAGTAAGTTTTCATTCAATCAATGATATTTTCATAGAATTCATTTTATTTTTCCTGTAGATTCAAGGTTGATCTTGTAGATTTAAGAAATCCCATTTATTAGAATGATATTTGGTCACTTTCTACATTATCGCACATAAACATAGTAATCATTTTACACAAGCATACTCATAACCGTCATCACCCTCAAAAGTAGAGCATGATGTCGCCAATTTTTCAACAACAGGAGAAGTTCCTCACTTCTAAACATAGAAATTCAAGAAAGACTGCAACCAACAGGAGGTGTTTCTTTCTGTTTTAAAAATTTGTAATAATCGTAAAACATAGAAGTTTCCACGAAACTTACCATCACGCAACTGAGCTTGTTGCTCCATAGCTTGTAGCCTCATTTTGATCTCAACATTTTCTGTCATCAGAACAGTTGTGTCTTTCTAAATAGGAAAACAAGAAAGAATTAAGATGATAACCTCATTGTGTAGCTGACTTGTATATTTCTGCGTGCGTGCTTGTGCAAGCTCAGTAATGTATTCGTGTAAAAACAAAAAAATAAATTTCTATAACAATTAAATTCTTGAAATACAACCTACAAAATTTTAGCATGTATCAAGTATAGCAGAAGATTTGGCTGCTAAAGTTTCTAATTTATCTTGAATTCGACTTTTAACTAACCAAATCAATTTATATTTTCAAGGAACGAAAGTAGCAGGAAACAAATTATATACATTACGAAGTTTTTATTTTATTTCATTTTATTTGTTTAAATATTAAACAGTACACAGTTTCATCTAATTGCCTAGCACAAAGGCTCTACATTGGTTCTAAATTAGAATATATATATCGGTATGGCCTGAAGTCATATATTGGCTATTATTGGACAATATTGGTCGGTGTATTGATGAACCAATATTTCAAACCCTCTATTACCCTTAGGAGGTAATCCGTGGCATAAATCATATTCCAGGTACAAATATTTAAGGAGATTGCAATTTGTAAGCAAGATCATCCTTGATCACTAATACAAATCCCAATTGGCATCAAAACTAACCATGCAATTTGAAATTGTAACAAGTTTTAGCTTTGTATATGGATACCGTTACAAGCAGTATAAGTGAAGCTTAAGTTTATTTTGTTTATTAGCAGCTAAAACATTTATAGCGGTGGTAAAAGAAAAAAAAAAAAAAAAAAAAGGCAGACACACATATAAATGTATTGAAATTATGGCATATTTTCCAAAAACAAAAAAGCCAATTTCATGTGAAAACAAACATACACATGAGGTTTAGTTTACAAGAAAAGTGTCGAAATACAAAAAATCTAGTGAGACAAAAACCTTGTATATTGTGAGTTGTGCAGACAGATTCCTTGCTTCTAATTGAAGGGAGTAAACTTTTCGCTCTAGTTCTAATAAATAGCGAGTCTTTCTCTCTCTTGAGCGAGCAGCAGACTGTCTATTTGCTAAGATCCTGAAGTTAATAAACAACCTATTAGCATAGAACCTCCAAAAATGTTTGAAATCAAGACGGTGAAATGGGTATGACTTGCATAAATATATATGTGCATGTAAAACATGTTGAATCCATAAAACAATAGTGGGTCCCATTATTTTGTAGATAAATTGAATTCTACATGTATACATGGTGTTTGTTGTGTAAATTCACATGAGGTGAAAAAAAAAACTTATGAAATTTATGTCTAGTGACAAATATCATTTTCTTTTGTGCAAATAAACATATAAGGTGAAAGAAAAAAAAAAATCCGGTGAAACTCATCTAGTGACAAATAAACAAAATTACATATGTTTGAACTCTGAAGTTATGCTGATGGATTTTTTTTTTTGTGATGATAGAGATAGCTGCCCATAAATTTGAAGGCTAAATCACTATGATATGTCTTATAAGGCCAGCTATGCATTATGACAGTGTGGACCACACACAAATTTTGAAGAACAAAAATGCAGCTATAATGATGAGGATGTTAATTTAGACATGAAAATATTGAATAAGTGATACTTAAAAATATGACAAACAAGAAAAAGCTAGAATTTTGGACAAAATGGAAGGAAGTGATCCGAGATGGTGTTCAACCATGCATGTGCAAAAACTGAATCAACAAATGCACAAAAAACATGTAATTCATATGAAGTCAGAGTTACTTAAAGAAATGCCAAAAAAAAGTGTTGTCGAGGAAAGACAAAATGTGCAGTTGTACATGTGTTTAGAGGTAAATACCGACAAGATGCAAGGGTGGAGCGACATGTTCTTGAGTCGTTTCAAGAGACCCCACTGGAATTTTGGTGAATTGGTAGGCTAGTTCAAAAGTTTTTATGTTCTATTCTAAGATCCATTGTAAAATGACTCCATTAACTCTTTCATTTGAAAAAATATGATATACTAAATTAATATCTTCAATCAAATTCAATTCAATCAATACTTCAAATTATTACTTATTTGAGAAAAATATAAATCTTACTAAATTAATTATTAGGGTTTAATATAGAATGGATTTGTTTCATGGTTATTATTCTCCTAACCTTTTGTCTATAGTAGATTTATACCATGTTGTGGTGAAAAATATCAATTCAATACTATTGAAAATTCGTTGTTTAGTAACCCACTAAGAATAAAAAATTTTCTCTGCCACCGACAATATGTGATACCCACAGTCTAACCCTACAACTGACAATATGTGTACCCATATCCCAACCCTCCAACATGAAATCGAAAGCTTTGATGAAGTTGGTATGCTCAGATCAAAAACAAAAAAAAAAAGTTGGTATGCCTATAAATGTCCAAAATGATGACGAGCTAGCATGCAAGGTAAGTCTAGCATATGGTACTAAGATATTTCAATGATGTTCAATAATTTAGAAGTTTGGTAACAAAAACTAACTTAAAAAGAGAAGAAAAGTGTTGACCTAAACCAGAAGGGAATTATTATGAAAACTAAAAAATTATAATTCTGAAAAGAAATTGTAGAAAAAGAATATAATAGAAATTCAATAATCCAATCAAATAAATTCAAAATGAAAAGTAATGCCACAAACTAAAAAATTTACTCTAAAGTGTAAGAAGATAATTGCATTCATCCTTGTGGAGTGGGGTTCATTTAGAATGAAGTTGAAATTTATTTATATCGTAGTAGTAGTAGTAGGTAAAGTGTGAGCTCATTCAAAATGAATATATTTCTGAATTATTTTCCCAAGAAAAAAGGCGGTTAAAATAACATATTCTGCCAAAACTTATTATTAATTCTTTCTTTTTGGTGTTCCTATTATAGTTTTGCCAATGCAATTCTTATATAACTTTTTTTTATACTAAATTTACTCTTTGGTATTTGTTTCAATGTGTACTCAAGTTTAATACCTAAATTTAATCACTATAAAATTATTAGGATAAATTACATTGAGATTTGTAGAAAAAAATTTACAAGTAAACTTTATAAATTTAACATAATTACGCTAACTCTTTTAAAATTTTAATTCATGTAAGGCTTGATCACATTTTCATCATAAATTCGTTAGTAGTATGAATCAAATAAATAATCTTTTCATCTCTTTTACATTGAAATATATATTTTATCTTGAATATTTTTAAAATTTTTATAGCATCTGCATTAGTTTTGCTCAATTTAATACCCAAATTATTAATAAAACATACAATATGCAAACAAACACAGAAAAATGTGAAGAAGATATATAATGTACACCTCTTAACACGCTTGGGGTCTGCAGCCCAAAGCTCAGCCAACTTCTCCGGCGGCATTGCCTTGTTCGCTTCACCTAACCCCTCCGACAAGCTGCTATTCCGGTACCGCCGAAACCTCTTCTCCGATAGACCGCCACCGTGATCCATCAAATGTTCGGAGGCGCCGTCGTCCTCATTTCGGCCGAGCTTCTGAATGTCGAGGAATGCGGAGACGAGGTCATCCTCCGACCCCATATCCGCCGTGTAACCGCCATTGAATGCCTCGCCGCCGTCGTTGTCTGCGGCGGCGACCCGGAAATTTCCATCAGAGTGGGCCCGCCTGAAAACAGAGGCTGCTGCGGCGTCGGAATTCCCAAACAACAACCGAATCTGTGGCCGTGATGGGATTGGATTCACATCACAATTATTATAATTATAATAATAATTAGCAATATTATTATTATTAAGGTTGTTAGGGTTAGGGTTTGATGATGATGGGTCTTCAACATCCATTGAGAAAATTGGGAATTACATGCTGTTGTATATGGTTTTTTTTGAATGAGAGAAGCTTTTTGTGGTGTGGTTTGAAGATTAACAACATTGCAGGAGGAGGAGGAGAGAGAAAATGGAGAAGACGAGAGGAATTGCAGAGTTGGTGGCGGTGGTTTTGTTGTTGCCGCCAATTCGATTATGCATTAACGTTGTTCATTCAGAGTTTTGTTTGTTTGTGTTGACAATTTTGCAAACAGACTTGGAGATTTTTGGGATTATTTTTTTTCTAAAAAAGGAATTTGAAAACGATGCACTAGCAACGATAAACTCTAAATCCACACTTGTAATTAGAATAATGTTTGGAATTTGCATTTGATATTTCTTTGTCTATTTTTAAAAATTCTATTCTAGTAATTGCCTAAGACATTAAAATCTGCTGGATATTTATTGTTGGTGAGACATTAAAATGTTTTGTAAAATAGTTTGGTTAGAAGTCGTTTGGTTGGTTTTAGAGGACAAAGTTTCCAATTTTATCCATAATTTATTTGTTGACCTTTTTTGTATCTGTTGACTTTTTTGACTATCTATTTAAATTTATATCTATCTGTTTAAATTTTTTTGACTATTTATTCAAATTTTTTCTTATCTGCTAATGTTAAATTTTTAATTTTTTCTTATCTATTGAAATTATTCGTTAAATTTTTTTATTTGTTAAAACTCAAATTTGAAGGCCCATTTTCTTATCTGTTCGAAATTTCACAAATTTGTTTTTTTATCTGTTGGAAACAATAACAACAACAACAATTGAAATTATTTGTTAAATATTTTTTTTATCTCTTTAATTTTTTTTTATATGTTAAAACTCAAATTTGAAGGCCCATTTTCCCATCTATTTGAAATTTCACAAACTTGTTTTCTATCTGTTGGAAACAACAATAACAACACAATACATATGCAAAAACATCATTTTTACATATATGAATAGCTAAATCCAACATATATGTTCAACAAAGAGAAAGAAAAGCATAATTATCATTAGGGAGGGATGATCAACAGCAAAAAAGAAAAATAATTATTTGTTTGTTTTATCTTTTCAATAAGAACAACAAAGAAAAAAAAATATATCTATAACAATAGATCTTTATTCTAGGGTTTTTGTCCAACATATAGGTATTCTAGGTTATTTTGAAATTAAAATTCGAGTGGCCAAAGACCTCACCAAAGAAGATCTACCGAAGATCCTTAAAACAAGCCCAGACAACGCTTCATTCCACGACATAGCAACAAATTTCTTCATTCTTGAAACGAATCAAAAAAGTCCAATTTAATCATCAGAAGACAAAGAATCCAAAGAAAGTACAGATATATACATATATAAAGAGAGAGTGAGATTTTTATGGAGATAACTCAAAAGGAGAAGGAAACGCATCTTTTGGAGATCAACTTGATCTATGTTCAAGAATATACATCTATATATATATATATATATATGTTTTGATTCACACACAAAGACACATATTCACGCATATACATATAATATGTATGTTTTGAAATCTAAGAAATGTCAAGTGACAGTGACGACTTAGACGAAGACGAGTTACTTCAGATCGTGTTGAAGGAGCAATCTCAACGAGATCTCAATTACCACAAACACTTCACCAAGCCTTCAGTCCCACGTCTACTTCAGGTCATATCGTCACATGCACTCTTGCTCTTTGAGCCCCACGTCTTGTAGTCGTATTTAATTGTTTGGCCAACCTTTGCTCGGTCAGGGCCATCGCTCGGCTAGCCCTTGGTTGGTCCGGTCGGTCAGTCGGCCACCCTCGATCTGTCGGTTGGAGTTGTTACTCAGTTGGTTTGTCCTCATTCGGTCGGGGTTGTCACTCGGTCGGTGTGCTATCGGTCGGTCACCCTTGGTCGGCCAGTTTCAACGATTCGGCCATCTTCACCCACTCGACCCGCTTTGCACCTCGTTCACCTTCGTCATCTCCTCGCCTTCTCAACTAGAGGGAACGTTGGGGATTGTAGGGACGTTAATGCTCCTAAACTGCCTTGCGATCGATTGTCTTTGTTTCCCCTACCAAACTGTTTTTCCTTCTGTATGGACAATCGTTCGGCTACACTTTTCTCCGATTTGAGAGACTACGCCAATTTCTAATCCCTTCACTGGTCTAAAGTTGTGCTCAAGAATAGAGGACTACTGATTGGCATAGCCTAGAAGGGCCCAACCCATGGTTACCCTGGGTTGCCTAGATAATTATTTGGCTAGTTATCACTATAAAGCCAGGCAAATAAGGCCCAATAGGAAGCCCAGCAAAGAACAGAGAACCCATAATAGTCCAAACCTAGTTACAGCTAGACACATGTCAAGTAGGAAATTAGCTACCTGGCAGACAAAGATTTTGTAGAGTTATTGAGCCAATGCGCCAAGCATTAAATGAGACTGTCAAAGAATTAAATGCAACATGACCTCTCGTTCTGGGACATGATGAAACCACCATGGCCGACGGTGAATAGGTTGCAGACTTTCGGCCAATGGACAAGGAAATGATTAGTAAGAGATATAAGAAGGCTTCTGAGGAACGTTTTGGCAACAACTAATTCACTCTCACTCTCTAAACTGTTATTCCGACAACATCCTCACCTAACTTGATCATCGGAGGGTCCATGGGAAGGAACCACCCCCATTTCAGAACCTTTATACTGGACTTGTTTCATATACGATTAAGAAGACGAAGGACAGTCAACCTGTGGAGCACTTGGATTAATTTGACCCATATCTTACTGACCAGATTGCATTATCAATTGGTGTCATCTGTGACAATATACTTTGGTTGATAGTTGTATTCATTGTTGCCGGAAGCATTCCTACCATCACCCGCATTTTACATCGGAGTGAATGGTTATGACAAGATCTATGAATTCATAACACAATGCTGGCAACCCTCAAGCTGAGTCCTCTAACCTAAACAATCCACCTCTATGTTTCACAGAACTCACTAACAACATCAACCGCTTGGTTGAGCAAAACCAAGCCTTGGTCAACATTTTGCTCCAATATGATCTCTATGTTCCTCGGCCTCCGCCATCGCAAGACATTCCTCCAAACCGAGACAAACTCCAAACCACCACCCATATCAACCATATATCTCCCAAGGACCCTATCTCCCGTCCCTTGTACTACAAGCTCAGCTGTTGAACCTAGAGGGTCTGCATCCCCCTCTTCGGGGCTCGTAGTTTCATCAGGAGGAGCCTCAACTCTTTCATAATCACCAGCTACTGCATCACACTGTTGTCCATAAAGGAAAAGCTAGTGGTGTTTAACCCTTACTTCATGCTAAAGGAGACAATGTTCCTATTTGGAACGAGGAGCTACGAGCTATGAAACTCTATCTTCAGAGGGTCATGCAGTACATGCCGAACAAATCTTCCTCTACTGGCATCTCGTAATTTGTTGCTTCTATCAGAGATAAACCTCTATCCCCTAAGTTTAAAACTACATTCGATTGATACCTTCGACGGTACAACTAATTCGGTTGACCACTTGGAAACATACAGGATGCTCATGATCCTCTATGCTTTTCTTGATAAGATCATGTGTCGGGCCTTCCCTGTTACACTTAAGGGGCCGACACGACTCTAGTTTAGTTAGCTCCAGCTAGACTCAGCCACTTCTTTTAATCAGTTGAGCGAATCCTTCTTGAGCCATTTTATCGGCGCTCAACGTCAACGACGCTCAGTGACTCAACTGCTAAATATTTGACAAATAGAAGGGGAGTCATTATGTAGCTTTGTCACTCGCTTCAATTTAGAAGTTTTACAAGTTAAGAAAAATGATGGCAAATTCATTTTAACAGCCTTCATAGTCGGTCTGCACCCATCTGATTTCCTCTTTCCTCTCTCCAAAAATCCTCCGACAACCATGGCCATCATCCTCACTAAAACCCAAAAATACATGAACACTGAAGATTCTTTGGCAGCTTGCCATGATCCAAAGAAAAGAGAAAAGAGCTTGAGCCTAGACATTCTCAATACACTCACTGACCCCATTAATATTCTGACTGACCTGACCGATCGGCCCCTTCTCGTCTATCCGGTCATTTCGAGCTGTATACCTCTCTCAACTCATTCATGGAGCAAGTCCTAAACCAAATCCAACAAGACTATAACCTAAAATGCCCTTAACCTTCAAAGTCTCCCTTCATCCATCGAGACCAGTCCAAATATTGTCGCTTCCACCGTGACCATAGCTATGACACCGAAGAGTGCATCAATCTTAAGGATCAGGTTGAGGAACTGATTTGTTGAGGGCGTTTAACTCGGTTCACCACAACCCAACCACACTAAAGAGCTAGGGTCAATTATAGAAGGAGGAACAACAGACGCACTCTACCAAGGTAAGTCGACCAGCCTAGGTAGAATGATGTTAAAGCCCAACAACAACCTCGAGTTCAAGGAGGACCTCCACCTCCATAGGGAGAAATCAGGGTCATTGTAGGAGGACTCGTGTGCGGCAGACCATCTTGGTCGGCACAACTAGCTGAGCTCCAAAAGATCACGCAAGGGTTGAACAAAGAAGTGACGACGGGCAACCGACCCATAAGCAGCCCAAACAGTGGTTGGAGCCGATCACCTTCATGGATGCAGATTGTACAGGAGTCTGGTACCCTCACGATGACCCTCTGGTCATTTTCTCTCTTTTCTCAAACTACAAAGACAGACGCATACTTGTCGACTGGCAGCTCATCAGATATTATATTCCTCAATGCTTTCAAGCATCTCAAGATTAGGGAAGAAAAGTTATCACCCCTGCAAACCCCCTTAGTTAGTTTCACAGGTGATCAGGTAACCTCTATAGGATCCATCGATCTTCCAATCACTATTGGCGAGTACCCAACGTAGACCACGAAGATCCTCACCTTCCTAGTCATTGACTATCTATCTACTTATAATATTATACTTGTCGTACAGCCCTCAATGCTTTCTAAGCTATGACGTCCACATACCATCTGGTAATGAAATTTCTAACTAACCATGGGGTCGGCACTGTAAGGGGCGAGCAGACTGTAGCCAGAGAATGTTACGTTTAAAAAAAGTGAAGGTGAAGCAGGCCATGATCATTGAGGGCCTTGATGCTAGGGACGAAGAAGAACTGATTCGGGAGGAACTAGTGGAAGAGTTAGTCGAAGTACCCATTAACCTCACCGACCCAAAGAAGACAGTTAAGATTAGCAGCCAGCTAAGTCCTTAGGCCAAGGTCGACCTTACAGCTCTCCTAACCGAGCACAACAATGTCTTTGCTTAGACTCATAAGGACATGTAAGGCATCAACCATTCTATTATTACCCATCATCTTAGCATCGAGCCCCAAGTCTAACCAGTCTGCCAGAAATAAGGTATTTTCCATCCGGGGTGCAAC